GAATAGAAGCTAGACGTAGTGGAGAATGAAGAGCAAAGAGAAAACTGAAAGTTCAGTGGGTATGTCGCGAGCAAGCTACAAAAAAGTGCATTCTTTCACTTAGACAGTGGAGGCCAACGTAATTGAGAAAAAGAAGGGAAAATTAGCTGCTGAAAAATCTTTCCCCGGCGACTGCTGCGCTCATCAAACTTCGTCGATGTCGAGGCTGGCGCGCATTTATTGAATTTTCTCTCGGTGAAGTATAACCGTAGGAAGCAACAGCAGCAGCAGCAGCAACGCGACGTAGCTCGTCTATACACTGCAGCGCACCGCACGCTGTGCTCAAGCATGAAGTACGCGCAAAGGGAAGTTTTGCATGAAATACAAAACAATATATGCTCGGAGTATATACATAGCGAACAGAGCGCGCGAGACGTTGAAGTGAAGTGGTGCGTGTTAGCGTCGCGTAGTCGTCGTGTAGTCGCGCCTCGAGAAGAAAAAAAAAGAGTAAAAAAATAATTAGCGCACTCAACGAGATTTTTCTTATATGTGCACACTGTGGTGTAAACAGCAGCTCCTGTGTATACATATATAAAAATACGGAGCGCTCAAGTAGAAATGTTTTTGATGCTGCACAAATCTACGTATGTGTTTTTCTCGCTTCTTGCTCTATCTCTCTGTCTGTGTGTAGCATTATCATATACACACAGACTCACACGTCGGCCATGCACATGTTGCTTGGACCATTGACAATATGGTAGATAATAATGCGTCTGCTCTTTGCCGACATTGTTTCCTTTTTATAGCGTGTACGACTGTACGGGACTGACGGTTTCGGCGTGTTTGATGTGCACTGCCGTGTCGTCGCTTCATGAATGCAGATCGCGCTCCAACCAAGTCCCCAGTGCCGAGCAGCACAATTGGCTTTCAAGAAGACGTTTTGATGACCTACTTGCAGCGTGTCTGCCCTCGCATTTATGTCTGCAAATCTAGAGTACTTGTGCCATATTTTCTGCCAAGATCTTCGTATTTACGCTACGAGCGTATTTAGGCATCATAAGTTTGAGTTTCTAAGCAATCGTACGATTTATTATCATCAAAATCGAAATAATTGAATGATGTTCGCCTTGACGAGTAAAGTACGAAGGTACAGTAGTATCGCTCGGTCCATCGTCCGTTGCATTGTACGCATCCATGCTAAATTCCCAATAGACTCGTGCGTTCGGAGCCGACGCGACGCGAGCCACGCGGCGCTCTCGATCCGATAATAATCTCTCTCTGTCGCGCGCTTGTGCGTGTATGAATGTTTAATAGCTTCGATCGGCCACCCTCGCCGCCACTTGCACTGCCGCATTTGAGGGACATCTGAATGAGGCTCGCACCACCACACGCGCACACCCACACAGAATTACACGTATGTACAAATGTGTATGTTTTGCACACGTACACATTTAATCCCGGCTCCATTCACTTATACGTGGGTATATACAAATATACGTACGAGGTATGTATACATGCACTCTCGATGACTGCCCGGATCGATCTAATTATGTCGTTTTCGCCGAATTCACTTCGTGGGCCCTCGAATCTCGGATCTCCCTCTCCCCTGTACTCTATATACACGCACTACCCTCTCCACTTTTTTATACCTACAGACGAAGCCTCCAAAGACAAACGAGTAATAGGAATAATAACAATAACAGCAGGGCAAACGCAATCATTCGCAGTAACCTGGGTGCAATACGATGAGAGTAAAATAGGAATACGTGCGCGAGGCGAAGTGGCTCGAGGTGGCGAGGTGTGACGTTTGAATGCGTTGCCGGGGACCTATTGTGCCCCGCGCGCCACATTGAGTTACTCGGGGGCCCAGAGCCCCGAGAAGCGAGCGAGCAAGTAATACGACACTGCCCACAGAGAGCATGAATTTATAGCGACCGCGTGCCACGAATTTTTCGCTTCCCTCCACGTATTGCCTCGTAAATGTGTACAGAGCGCAAGCACGTATAAATTCGCGTTTCGTCTCCGTCTTCTTCCTTTTCTCTATACTGATGATGAGGATTGCAGGGAGATTTTTTTTCTTCTTCTCGTTGCTCGCGCGGATATACATGCGAATGACTATATACTTGTGCGTGTACGCGCCAGGTACAGCGCGTTAACCGAGCTGTTTCGAGCTCGTCTCTGTCTGCAGGGTGAGCGCGCGAGCCACCGATCTCGTCCTTTCAGATTAAGGTCCTCTCTTTCTCTCTTGTAAACTGGCAACTGGCGCGTCGTCTCTCGTTACGTTTGTCTAACATGTTGATCATTGCTCGTGACAATTTCGTGAAAAAATAAAAAAGAACAACAGCAGCAATAACGACGTCGGAGTTGCAGTCGCCATGTATTATTCTGCCCAAGTAGATATTGAATTTATGTGAGCTACGAAAACAAAGTTCTATATAATCGTACCGTTTAAGTTTTGGATGAGAATTTTGATTTATTCACGGAACATAGCGATATCTGATCTGCTTTTATCTGTACTTTAAAATGTACGTTGCATTAATGTGGGTGACTAAGATTTCTTATTCGAGAAAAAAGGGCAATTTTCATCGTACTCGAAAACAATGTAACGCTCGCGCGCATATAACGGGGTTAGTCAAGATACAGCTAAGAAAGAAGGCAAAAAAAGAGAGCGAAAGAGAAAGAAGGAGATAAAACTACAGCGGATTGCTGCTGGGTGCGCGTGAAACAAAAAGCATCCCTGTCTTGGATATAACTATAGATGCGTGTGCATGTGGGTGCGTGCATGAGCTGCAAAGATCTGTATCCCCATTGTGATTGTATTTCGTTGACACTTGGCTCATTATACCACTAATTATATAATTATATGAATTTGAAAGCATAGGACGAAAAATAAGCAATTTGTGCTCTTCACGAAGAGCCAGCCAACTTTTCAACAAGTCTAAAGCCTCTTTTCTTATTCCTCTGTTTTTTATTTTAATGCACTTCTCTTAAGAAGAAGAAAAAGTGGAAAAAAAATACAATGAATAAAGCGAGGAGACAATTACCTCGTAACTTTTTTCCTTCGATAATGAAAATATAAAGTCGTCGTCGAACAAGCCGCGTTGACGGAAATCGAATTGCACTGTATAATACAGGCTTGGCTCTATAATATCGAATTATCTGTCTCTTTCTCCCTCTCAATCTCGATTTCGCTTACGCCAACGGAACGTGAACCGTTTCCTCAAGACGGAGAGATCTATAATGGGAAAATGGAAGATGGTGGGGGGAGGAGGAGCGATGGAAATCTCCAATCTATCGATGCTTCTCATAGGTACACGATATCTCATTAGCATTATTACGAATATATAACGACGGGGGCATAGTATCATGATTATTAGCGAACCCTGAGAGCTCTGCATCCTGCAGTCAATTTTCCAGAGAGTCGGAGAAATTTGCCGCGAGGCTGTGCCAAATGCAGCATATATATGCACAGATAATCGATGCGCTTGCTTAATTAATCCATTTGTCGATATATAAGCCGAAGAACCTCCTCAGCCAGCTATTATATCTGCACCGTAGCCTTGGTGAAGCGCTTATTGAGAACGAGAAATTTTCTGATAAATATTGAGCTTTTTTCAATTAAATTTACGCATTCTAATGGATTACCCGAGAGTTTTTATTTTCAATTCTTTTACCCAGTAATCAATACATTGAGTATTCATAGAAAATTGTGCACTGCAATTGCTCTGGGAAAAAGGAGATGCTCAAAATGACCAACAAGTTCAGATGGAAAAAAGCTGCGAAAATACTCGCGACCACAGAGAGTAGCCTCTTTGAGCGAACTTTCCTCTTTCGCTCTATAATACTTGAAGTATTTCTTTTGAAAAAAGTCTACTTTACACGTTATATACCCACTATAGAATCTACTCTGAAAAATATAACTTCTTTGGTGTGCGCGCTACTATGTGCCCGAGGTATACACACACATACATACACAAAGGTGTAGATCGATTTTCGGTAACTCGATCTTGAGTGGCTCTCCGCGCACCCGAGCGAGCTGTAAGCGCTGCTGCTGCTACTGCTGCTACTGCTGCCTTGCTAAGTGCTCGTTACGTTATATCATATATAGCGTGTATACGCTAGCTCTCGATACGTCGATTAATTTACTCCCTCGAAAATGCCGGTGTTGACGTCTTATTAGTACATCGTCCTTGCCTCATTAGCCATCAACGCCAAGGTCTTTTATAATGTCTACGTTGTGAAAAGCTAGACTCGATCAACTGTTAAATGAATTTCCAAGTTTGCTTCTATGAAAAAATCAATAGCTCCGAGAAGTGCTAAGTTTATTGAATATAACTGTTTTCAAATTTTTGAATTTCATGAGAAACTCAACTTATTTCATTTTCTTCTAGCTTTGCATAATTTTTTTTTCTTCTTTGATAGTTTAATCTATAAATTATTTTTGATTATTCTAATATGATTTAATATTTTAATATATATTTTTCATGTTCAATTGTACAATCATAGTTTAGTTATTTTTCAAGCATTATTTTATGCAATTCAAAAAGTAAAAATTCCATAAACTATAACAATGTGAAGAATATTAGAAGTAAATTTGAAGTATGAAATCCATACATCCTGTTCCGAGCTGCTAAGAATTTTTAAGTGCTGCCCTCTTGACAGTAAGTGTGCGAACTATAGCATTATCATGATAATAAATAAGGACTCCTCAAAACTTAAAACTACGAGTATCAATGTAATTACAACAATGAAATAGTTTCTCAACGAATTATATGTTATAAATTTTTATAATTTCATAATAAATTCAATAGAATTGAATTATTCAATGAATAGTTTGTTAAATGGACGTCTATATAAATTTTTCTAAGATAATTTCTCAAGTTATTTAAACTTATATTTATTTAAAAAAAAAAATATATATATATATATAAATTATCATTTTTATCAGTCAATTTAAAAATATTTGATAAAGCGTCAATATTATAATTCTTATAACCTTATAAATTTTTGGCTGAGCTTACCATGAGGCGATCCATGTTGCGTAGGACTGCCCTGATGATGATTAGGTCCAACCCCGGCTGTCGACATCATGTGCTGGGCATGGGCCGCTGCCGCTTGGTGCACCCCCAGAGCTCCAGGGCTTTGCGCACTCAATTGGCCTGCAGCAGCCGCCTGGTGCACCGCCTGGTGATGAGCCGCAGCCGCGGCGGCATGATGCGCCGGGTGCGTATGATGAGGTGGCGGCAGAAAAGCCGCGGCCACGGCAGCCTGGGCATTGAGGTAGGCCATCCTCGAGGCGGTGAGGTTGCTCAAGTTGCCCAGGTGATTCGTCAGCGGCGCCATGTAGTCCCAGAGCTTGTGGTGATGCGGTGCCGTCGGCGCGTACGACACGGCAGACACCCCGGCCGGCGGCGAGCTTTGCGGCGAGCCCCTGTCATTGTTGTTGTTATTGTTGTTGTTGCTGGTGTTGTTGTTGTTGTTGTTATTGGTGCTGGCGATGGGATTTCCGGCACCGTTGAGGCCCAGCAATTCCTGGATGGCAAAGGGCGAGCGCTGCGGCATCTTCGCGTTCGTAAGCCGCGCCTGGTGGTGTTGCGCGAGCTGTACGACGTTGGTGGCGCGCGCGGCCGCCTCAGCGGGCCTGCTGCTGCATCCTCCGCTGCCGTGGCTTAAGTCCACCACGTCCAGCACGCTTTGATTCAGGATGGTCGTTTTGGGATCTATCTCGTCCAACAGTTTTGGTGAAATTTTGGATTACGTTAGCTCGAGCGCAGAGCTCGAACTCGGCACGCAGTATCTAGTTATTCTTCGTTGTTGCAGCTGCGTTTTGCTCAAGTGAAAATGAGCTTGAGGCTTCGTTTAGCTTTTAAATAGAAAATAAAAAATGCTCGAACATGTGAGTCCTGGGTAGTTCGAAAGTTAAGTTTAGCACAACGAAAGTGCCTACAGTAGAGTATGTATATAATACAAACGTCAAATTGATGCGTCAATTGAGCAGCAGCCGTCGGATAAGATCTGTTTACTTATTCAACTTGCTGTTGCCGCTTTAAAATTGTCGCGTCGATTTTATTTTATAATTCAACAATAATTAAGTTTAATATCGATACCAGGCAACTTTTACAATCGTTGATTCTAATTCTTAATGGGGTATGAGTATAAGTATAGTGGTAAGTAAATTATCTTTTGGATTTATTTATCCGTGAATGGTAGGCGTTGTTTAACGACAAAACTTCAACATTCTTCGTATTTGCGGGGTTACATTTCAGTACCTACTTCTAATTTTAGATGCCTTTGTTACTTCTCCACGGGGAGTCTTGCAGGTTGACTTTTTGGTAAGTTTTTGTACCCCGAAAAGTCGATCATAGGGTAACAATTTCACTTCTAAGAACTAAAAGCAGAGAGTATGAACAAAACAGCAAACGGTGTGCAATTGATGCGGAACAAAATTTTGAAGGGTATGTCATCAGAGGTTGTCAAGTCATGAACGAATGAGCGACCAATGCAACCCTTTAGTCTTGCGTTTCTCACTTCTAGGAATTCTATTATGCTCCGTTGGATATTGGGTAGGCACTCGTCCAAATGCGTTCTTTGGCCGTATATTTGTCAATAACACAGTCAGTTCGTTTTTTCACTCGTTGTGTACACGATTTCGTAGAGCATAAAATCTCTTGAGCTATCCTTAATTATTATCGTTGTCAATGAACATCACAAAAATCATCACCACAACAAATCACTTGGAAAAATTCAAAAGATCGCAAAGTTAAACTGAGAACTGGCGAGCTGGAGCTCGCGGATCGGTGTAAATGTCAAAACTGCACGCGTGATGCGAAGCTGAAAAGGCACGCACACAGCCACGGCCACGTGAGTCACCACCGTGAGCAAAGTATCCAAGTAACGAGCCAACGGACGGGCGAGCATGTGCATGTACACATATGCGAGCGCAGCGCTGCAGTCAGTCAGTGTTTGTAAATATATTTGTAAATGTGCAGCGACGACAACGACGACGACGACTCGTACGCGATTCGTGCGCAAGGGGTGCTGCTGCGTCCGTGTCGCGGTCGCGGCCGTGTGCAACTGACGACAGTCGCTTGCTCGCTCGCACGGGGTAGCCCCAGCAGTACACAACACGCTGCAGCGGCAGCAGAAGCGGCAGCACGCTAGATGGGCGCCGATGATAGCGATCGGCGCGCGCACCCGCACATACTCCCTCGCGTGGGCCGCGGAATAAGAGAAACGAGCGATGAAAAAAGGCGTTGTCTCGTCTACCTTGACGATGGGTGGGGGACGCCTACCCCTCCAGCCGCGCCCCTCAAGTGCTACCCCTCGCGCCTCGAGCGCACCATTGGCTACTTTCTACTGAGGCGAGAGAGGGGCTACTGGACTAGCTAGGGGATCTTCGCGACAGAGGTGGGGGCAACAACGGAGGGTGGGGTTACTTGCTGACACGCCTGTCATACTTCCCTCTCCTGAGCTTTTCGCCTTCTCCTTCTCCTACTACCGGTACTATTGCCGTTCCTTACTGAGCTCTTTGATTTTTGAGCCATTGATGGATGTGTGGCTTTGTGGAATGTTGTATGCGTAAACTTACCCACACGCACGCCTATATGAGTAAGAGCTTCTCGGTGGACCTAAGTGCAAATTACAAGCTCATCTTGGACAACGAGGATTATGGCTTATCGTGTCCAATTGATTGCCAATAACTTCGTTAAAACATAAAGGTTATTTTAAACGAGCGAGAAACCAAGTATTAACACATTGATACACTCGAGCACGCCTTTAAATGAATAAATAAAAACAGCTAGTGGCTTCGAAAATATTTTGAATAACTTTTTTCTAACTTTTGAAACCACCGATAAATTTTTATTTTGACTGAAAGAAAAATTCATATTACTAAGTAGCATTATAAGACCAGTGTGATGATTTTTTTCACTTTCTGCGTAGTTAGTTTCTGCATAGTTTACTGAAGAATTTAATTAAGCCAATACCATTATTTTCGAACTGCTTTAACTTACATTTACATACTTATTTACATATTGAAATGTGTACAATTAATTTCATCCCTAATAAAGTCAATATATTTGAACAATCAATATCCTCGATGGACTTAAGGTCTCTGAGAATATGAAAAGGAACAAGAGAGGCATCTGACAACCTCATAGTCACATATATTAGCAGGCATGACTTAACATAATGAGCAGCATCGTTTCCCCTTATAATGATTCGATTATACAATATTCATAAATGCTATCTGCTGAGCAAGGCACGAATCTTCCAACGTATCCATACAAGAGGTGAGATTTTGCGAGTAACGGCACCTATACACATGTTGGCTAGGCACTGCTGCTTCGTATAGATACATACACGGGTACATGTATTCATATACTTTCTTCTTATTACCGTAAGGTATTATGGGAGTGGCCCCGGTAGGGGTGGCTGGCCAATCCTGCAGCGCTACTTGCGCCGTTCATTGGCCAAAAGGTAAATCGATTTATAACTTGGCCTCCCACCCGGCACTCTCAAGTAAAACTAACCCTTACCGCTTCCTCTCGCTTTCCGTCTCTCCGTTTCTCTCTCTCTCTCTCTCTCTCTCGCTCACACCAGTGCGGGTCTATACCACCAATTTTGTGGAAGTAACGGCAGCAGCGGGGAATCCAGCGGGGTTGGCTGTGGAGGTACTAAACGAGCCAGCTTCCCCGTCGACAAGATCGTGCGCTGCATAAGCAGGGGTAATTTTCAAAAAGAGCCGGAGCTCGGGATTTCTCTCTCTTTCGGATTTGAGTAATGATTCCCTTCTCCTGCATCCTTCGCGTGCACTGGCACGCGTTCGCTGTTGTTTTTATCCTTGTTATTTATGTCTGATGATGGGCATCGGTTTCTTTTCTGCTTTCTCTTTCACTCCCCTGGTCCCATCTCATTGTCCTTATGAATTTTGTTGTCTTACGAAAGATGATAATTTTCGTTGCTTGGTGGAACGTAGAGCTGCATAATTCAATGTCTTAATTCAACGTCACGATGACTTTTAACTCGATCTTTATTATACTAGGATTTCATTAAGAGATAAATTGTTAAAAATTTTATATTAATTAATAGTTTTTCTAACAATTGACAATAAATAATATAATGCACTTTGAAACTCTTGAATTTGGCATTTTTAATATTAAAACGAACGAATAATTATTTATAATTAACGAAAATAATAATGTCAAAATTATCGAGTTTCTGAAAAGTTTTTTATTTATTTATTTTTTCCATATAATAAATTTGATACATTTTGAGCATAGAACGTGCTAGTGTACCTTCAATTTTAACTGGACATTTTATGAAAAATCAATTTTTTCGAAATACTATTCACTCTTGGCTTTTCATTAAATCTCAGTTTTGAAAAATAAATATCAATTAATCTAATTGAATAGTTCTAGAGTAAATATTAAAAATATTTTTTAATGAAAAATTAAGATGTTCGTTATTTTTTGTATATAGGAATAGAAATGTTATTCAATTAAATTGATTCGACTTAATTACGTACGCACAGTACATGCATGACTATTAACTAACGAAATGTTTGAAAACGGATACTCTAACAAACTTGATCGTCAAATTTAAATAAAGCTTGTTAGTAAAATAACTGCACCTGCGAATAATAAGGTTGGTCAAATCGATTTCGAGTCATTTTTAACACTAGCATAAATTCTTCTGTTTTTCTTATTAACCTTCTCTTTCTTTTATTTTATTTTTCTTTATTTTTTTTACGAATAAAATAGCTTACAACAAATGAAAAAAAACCAAGGGGCCTTTAGGAAAGTCACCTAAAATGGCTTCCTACAAGTTGAGTAACTTTTAATTAAATTCAAATAAAAAAATCGCATCAGTTAAAGTAAAAAAATCCACTTAAAAGTAACTTGTAAAAAAATATATCATATTTCAAAAATTGTACGTGCTCAGAAATTATGATGACCACAAACGCTTATAAACATTGAAATAGTGTGACTAAAGATAGTTGGAGCTTAATTCATTTGTTTTTCATCATTTCATCGCATTTATGCGACATATATGAAGAAAAACCTATATATTGACCTATGATTTGAAACTAAAATTTAAATTTGTCTATACAAATTGCGATGCGATGAAAGCTTATTGAGATTTAATTTACTCTACAATTCAAATTAGTAGTGTAGAAAAAAATTGTCATATGTCTATATATCAATAAACTTTTGCTTTTTGCTTAAAATTTACATCAATAAAGAGTCGAAAAATATTTTTAGAAATCCTTACTTCAAGCTATTTTTTTAAAATTCGAACTCATTTCCAGCTATCTAGTAAGTTTTTATATCAATAGCTATTTATATTGTTACGTGGGGGATAGGAGAGGGTGAATAATAACGTAAATAATAATAACGGTTCCCCGTGACAATATAGAAGATTTTGATAAAAAATTAGTTCATTTTGAAAAGGAATAATAAGAAATTACATCTATAATGTTAAACAGATACATTTTGCAATTTTCTTGATTTTCTTCACGATTGGACAATTTCAACAAAGAACTTGTTAGAAACTATGAATACTTTTTGACGCGACTATGAAGTAAACTTAAAGAAAACAAAGGGCTGCATCGAGCCCGGAAGCATAAAAATCAAGTAAGAAGTTTCTTAGAAATCGAAAGAAATTCAAAACCCCGTTCTAAAAACTTCATGACTGTTGCAGTTATTCGATCTATAGATTGCCAAGGATTATAAAATTTAGATGAGAATAAGCAATAATGTAGTCGTGGAACATATATTTATATGAATGATTTCATAAAATGATGCACTTATAAATTTACTTTTTAATCTTACCATATAATTCTTTATATCCGCGCAATTTCGTTCAGCGAGACATTTCTACAGTATTCAAATCCCACGACAAAACAATTGGCCATAGTTTTTTGAAATGTTTGCCGATTGAGCTGAGATGAGAAAGCACACTTAAAATGGCAATACAGCTATTTTCTCATGAGTGGGAAGAACTCTGACTGTTATTCTTTCAGTAAGTAAATTATAAAGTGTGACTCGTCAAATATAATCGAAGAAATTCATGAATGAAAAGTGTTTATTTAGAGACTAAATTAAATAAGCTACCTAGTTTTAACGTATATCAATACTCTCGGACAAAATGAGAGTAGGAATTATACCTGACATAATTTTAATAATAAGAAATAAATTAACCGAACTATTCAGTAGCTATGTTTGGTAAATCATATGTATAACGCATAACTCAAGTAAATGAAAAAAATTGATTTTAAAAACTTGAATTAGTCATAATGAAATGTTTTGTGAACGTTGAGCTTATTCAATTAATATACAATATTTTTAACGATGTTTACACTTTCAATTATCATAAAGATCATCGCTATGATCTTCCAATCATAGCAAATCACAATTGATTACTATTTTCGTTTTATCTTTACAGATACTTTAAACAACAAGAAATGATTTCACGCGAAACTTGACGTTATTTTTATCAACTCACGTAGATGTAAATACTTCATAATAATAGAAAGCGTGGGCAAATTTGATATTTCAGATTCAATTAGTAATTATTTTAAATTCCACTTCAGGTGGCGGGAACGAAACATGATCATTAATACATCTGTTGCTATTTTGCCTGGGAAAACAAGTCAGAAGAATGTAATATTTAAGTTAGTTATAATTTGATGTCTCGGTTGACGTTTAGTGATCAGTTCCTGTCATTTATTAAAATGATTACTTTAATTATGCGTTGTATACATTCAAAATCAACCATTAACCGATTTCCGATTATTTCTTCGGTATTCATCGCTAATAATACGACAAGCAATCATTTACTCATAATTTACTAAACGCACTGGGTAACAACAAGTTCATATTTCGACGAAAGTGGCAGGCAATGCTGCAACAACAGTATTGCAAGTTTTGTCAATTCTTTTCTTTTATAACCAGACGAGAATATTCAAGTATGCAATTATCATGTCCATTGCAAATGAAAACTCTTTTCTCATTGAAAGACCACCCATGGCCCGCTTGGTGCGCGTTGTCGTGGAGGCTAAAAAAATGCACGTATGGAACGTGTCGTGCTTTAGATTCGAGAGAAACTATAAGCATTCACGGGGCTGTTCGAAATCACAAGTCATCGCTTCTAACTGATCGTCTGTTCTTTAATCCGCACCTCTGAATACATATGTATACATAAAACAGCTTCTCTGCTTAGCCACTCGACGTTGTCATAACTTCATCAGGGCAAAGCGCCACTATACTGTTGCTTCTTTTCTCTCAAGCTTGTATATTGTATTATTTTCTTTCTACATAAATACACTGTTCAGATTAATATAAACATTTTTATTTGATTTGAAATATTGAACTTCGAAGGTGTTGAAAATACAGTTTATTTGAAAAATTGGCTACTTGAGTTCCTTGGTTGATTTTAAATTAATTCGTTTCAATTTTGAGAATAATGTAAAATTTCTATTAAAAATGTCGTTGCAACAAAATTGTATATCAGGAAGCATTTATTAATTATAAATTTATCATGATAAAATTGTAGCGCCTTTTTGGTAAATGTCAATATAAATAAAACAGCGATAAAGGCGGTGCCAAAGTCAAATTTATTAAAACAGACGGTGGACGAGAGTGCGTAATCACACACTACCTCGTCACCTAGTCGACGTTTCGCCGACCACTTTGTCGGCCTCTTCAGGACTAAAGAGGCCGACAAAGTGGTCGGCGAAACGTCGACTAGGTGACGAGGTAGTGTGTGATTACGCACTCTCGTCCACCGTCTGTTTTAATAAATTTGACTTTGGCACCGCCTTTATCGCTGTTTTATTTATATTGACATATAAATTTATCATATTTTTATCTTAAATAATGTTAACTACATTACATAGACCGTAAATATTAAAATATATTTAGTGTTAAAAACATTACATAAACTACATAAGCCTGATTAAATTTTTTAGAATAATTATTGGCTCATGATATTTATTATCAAAGCATAATCAATGCTATAGGTATGTGTAAAATGCAATCAGCGTTTTACTTACTTTAATTTCTGAAAGATGGCAGCAGCTGTACCGTCGGTAATTTTCAAAGTACTGCCTCATGTATAGCTGTATACAAATTTTATCTAGCTAATAAACTATTCTGAATACTTAATTTCGAGTAAAAATTTTTTTGCAATTTTTATATTTACGTCATACATGTTAAGCTTCTTGGCACATATAATGTTTGTTTAAGTAGATTTTCATATACGAATACATTTTTGTAACGTAATTTTACTCAACATTTTTAAAAATAATGCTCAACTTCTTTCAGTGATTATAGACTTTAAATTTGGGACATTAATTGATGTACGAATACAAATATAAATATTTGTGGCTTGATTAAAACGTGATTTAATCATTTTTGCACATTAGGTGCCATGCTCAACTCAGGCCAAAAATAATCGCTCGATAAGAGCACTATCAAGATATCGGTATTGGATTTTGGCAGATATATAAGACAGTATTGTTGTACATCATTTTATCATTAGTTTTCAAACTAAGCATAAAAATGGAACAATCCATCATTCAGTGCTTCGTAGTGACATTTTTCATGGGCAAGTGTACATTTAAATTGAAAGAAATACTATTGAGCTGAACATTTTACTGTATCTTAATTTTCTCATTTCAAGTATCAATTCATCTATTCTTAGTGTCATTTACTAATTATTTACATTTTTAAACGCATTTTGTGAGATTGTCATTTGTCGAAAAAAATATATGAATTTCTTCATTTTTTTTCTGATTATGTATGTAGCTCATCAAACAAATTTTTTTATTGGAATCTCGAAAATCGCGTTTGAAAATTTTTATATTTAATTTGGTTTTTGTAATTATTTAAAAATAAAAAATAATACATTGATATACATTCATTAACTATATTTATAAAATCAGTCAGATGAATATCATAATCGCTCAATATGAAATGTTTAACTTTTTTAGTCACTGCCCAAGGTATCAATCTTGGAGAAAAAGTCGTAGACCATGAATTTCCTCATTTAGTAGCAATATTTAAAGATCCTGGATTCGAAGCTAAACATGTTTGTAGTGGAAATATTTTGAACGAGTATTGGATTTTGACAGCTGCTCATTGTACAGCCGATTTTTCAGAAGGTCTTTTTGTTAAAGCGGGGCAACTCGGTCTCGATAACACGAAAAGTAGCTACGTGGCTTCGGTCGAAACAATATTTCTTTACGCAGATCAAAACAGGTAAAGTATTGTTTAAAATTTTACAACAATAAATAAAAACAGTTATCGATGCAAAAAATAATCTTAGCGTAAAAATAGTCTCAATCCACGAGGCAAGATTTCATGCTATTTATCAAAAAGGCTGATAACATTGTGAAAGCAATGCCTTTTTCTTATACGATTTGGTGATTTTTAAAGACGTAAATATATTATATATTTTAATCTATTATGGTTTTATTCAAATGAGAATCAAAAGAATCAAACATTTTCCATGTTTCCTATTTTTGACAATTCGATGTACAACAATTATTAGTAACAACTTTGGTTGCACAATATCGAGCAAATATATGATTATTACCCTAGTTAAATGATAGAAATAATCATAATTCTATTTTTCTTTTATGTCTTTAGTTTTATTATTAATAAAATATTTTTTGGCAATGCAAAGTTGAACCTATTTTCTTGTCAATAAATAAAAAATAATGTTAATAAGGTATTCATTAATTGAAATGTTCATTTTAAACTATGTATAATGTATAAAGCCACTTTGATTCAAATTTGTACAAATATTGATAGAACTTTAAATAAGAGTGTTCATATCTAAAAAAAGGAATTTTACATTTAACGCATAACACATAAAACAAATGCAACTGATATAAGCAACATATGACACATTTTATTTCTTGTAGCCTTATCAGTATCATTAATTTACATAACTCATCGATTTTATTATATGCCCACGAAAAAGATTTGATTTTTTTAAATTCGATCTAAATGAGACTTTTATTTTCAGCAAAAAGAATCACGATATTGCTTTGATAAAACTTAAAGAGCCTTTAGGGTTCAATTCTCAAGTTCAGCCAATCGAAATATCTGGTGAACATCTTATAGTCGGCGAAAATGTTACCATTTCTGGTTGGGGTGGGGTAGACCCAGTGGGAAATGGTGCATCGCAAGAACTATACAAAACAACGATGACAATTATTGATGATGATTCATGCATGGATCTTCTTGCAGTTGTTTATCAAAATCCATCATTACATCCTAATGATTTTTGTACCAAAGGATTAGATGGTGTGACAACTTGTAAAGTAAGTTCGAGCTTTTTCTAAATTTAAAAAAAAAATAGAAGCAAGAGTGAACTGCCAATTAATCTTATAAATAAATTACATTCAACAGAAAGATGGTGGAAATCCAGTAATGAGAATGAGAAAAAACAAAACTTTCGAGCTTGTTGGATTGGCTTCTTGGTGGAGCGATCCTTGCGGCGTCGAAGGAGCACCTTCTGTGAATGTAAAAGTCAAACCATACCTTGATTGGATAACATCGACATTAGCTAATAATTAATCAATTTTAATTTTATTTATAGTTTTTATTACATGTGTAAAACTGTATATAAGATAGTTTATTATGAAATTAAAAAAAATATATTGAGTTCAATGATTACTTTAAACTAAAGATTATTGTCTCAAAATTATTTTCAACTGATTAAGGTTAATTTTTATGTAGTATATCTAACTACTCTTTTGCTTCCTCGTAGAAAAAGCTTTGTGATAAGCTCGAAAAAAAGATTTTGAACCAGGCATTAAAATATGTACCAATTTCGTTTACATTTATATAAACTAGAATTATTTTCAACAAATATCTGAATATCAGCCTTCTCAGTCTTCTGGCGGAGTTCGAATCATCATTAGGGATGTACCCAGAATGCAATGTACCCTCTGCACACCTTCTTTTTATCAGTTTCAATTAAAGATTTATTACTAATTCATCAATAATGGATGTTCTCTTTGCCAAAGAATTGGCTCCATTTTTTATCTTGTAGTAATCAAAAAAATTAGTATTGATTCGTCTTATTGCTGACTAAGAAAAAAATTTAGATGCCTCATAATGGGTTATAAATTTAAAATATACAAATTTTTTTGCTTCCAAAGGAAGCTAGTATAAAAACATTTACCCTTATTCATAAGTTGGAGTAGCGAGTGCACACATACGATGATTCCGAAAAATCTTTATTCATGAATCATTCGTGGTGTACACCTCACTTGTACTCCCTCTCAACATGAACGTTAACGCAAACCACCATATACACTCCCACTCACACGAGCTCAAGACGAAAGAGCAAAATTAAATGATAACGATACTCCGACTAGTACCGTACCACACTTCGCTTACCGTGACTGGCGCAGGGTGGCAGCGAATCTCTCTCCCTCTCGCTGCCTCTCATTTTTGCTCCCTCTGCATCAGCAATAGCAGCAGTGGCAGCGGCAACACGCGCCATGTTTCCGCGCTAAAATTGTATACCTCGTTAACTATAATACAGCCCAGACAGAAAAGCTATTCGCCCGGGTACATCAAATCGCAAAATGCGAGCTGCCTTATTTTCTTTTCGAGGGTTTTGTCATCGATTCATATCTCACTTTTTTTCTGTATATGTTGCATCTATTTGTGAGTGTGAACGAGATATTTACTCTATTTTTTTTGAACTCTACAATAATGGCTCCATTGATTTTTCTTCATTTGACAAAATTTACAACATTTTAATTTCCATACGGAAAGAAAAATTGTAATGCGCACAAAAAAATATTTTATCACATGAACTCAAACTACAGTGACATAAAACTAACTTAAATATACTGTATTATAAGCTTTCTGTTATTGTAACCAAAAGGTTTAGTTAAAAGGACAATATTTTGATTGGACATAAAAAATTGCCTTTTTTATACCAAAGTGTGAGTTTTGTAGTCTGTATTGCAATACTTTTTCCGCTCATCATTCATCTTTGGCAACGTTTTTTGAATCGAAACTGATCCTTAATCTCGAATTTCGAGGTAAGATATTAAAATATGTTGTTTTTTTCTGAAATTAAATTGAAAGTTTCATTAAATTAAAAACTTTAGAAAAGTATAAATTTTTTATTTTCGGAAAAAATATTGAAAATGTAAGAGAAATAATTAATTTAATATTTTGATACTAGCATGATCGCGTCTGGAATTAAAATTAATTAAAAAAAGCAAAATGATTTATTTTGAAATACTCCTAACGAATGCGATTTAATTTACTAATTTCAAGTCGTTGCGGTCATTTTAAAATATACATGTGTTCCAAACCGTTTCACTCACTGCAAAAAAACTGTTTTTTTTGCATATGTAAATATAATTTGAGTATACTTCATTAAGCATCTCGACAAAAAATTGTTCGGATGCGAGTTCATAAAAACTTTACGTAGAATAAGTCATTTGGAGTATAATTTACAAAACAAAATTACGTTGCGAGAATAAACTATAACTTGGAAAAAAAAAACTTTTGATTTTATACTTAGCATTTTAAATAATCATCAAATATAAAATTGAAGCATTCAGTAAAGATTTCAAGTGTTTTCTATTGTACGCTATAACAAAGAAACGGCTTCTAGTTGAATAAAAAGGCATCAGCGAAAAATTTACATATTTATGAATATATTAAGTTATGAATTTATGCATTCATCACTGCGCCCATCAATGGGTGCAAAGGAAATTGATTTTGCAAAACTCGAGGCCGTAGTAGAAATGCTTCAAGTCTTAACATATTGTTGATGATAATGTATGAAAGATAAGTTAATTGATAATTTATATAAATTAATAGCACCAAATTCGTATTTCTAAACATACACGACAAAATAAAATAACTTCTTTTCGCCACTTTAAAATCAGCCATCTCAAATATCAACTAAGTCGCAAGCTTTCTACGAAGTAGCTCCTTCGTAAAATTTTAACCACCGAGAATTGTACATTACAAGGAAAAAAAAAGGATTTCTCAAAAATGCAACTTCTGTGGCCACTTACCATTGGCCCTCACTTACGAGAAAGTAAACGCTGCGTCGCACTAAAGCGTGCCCGTACGTATCAGGTACGTAGAATAGCTTGAAAAGTACGGCCCCCTTCATGTAAGTTTAAAAATTGAGCCAGTTACACAGCTTAAAATGGAGGTTAAATTTTCTTTAGAACAACAAGTACCATAGAACAGTTATTATTGATCAGGAAAATAATGCGTGCCGTTGAGGTATTCGAAATTCTTAATTTACATTACAGAATTCTCCGATCATGCCCATGTAATACGCTAATCCACAAGCAAACATCTATAATATGACATCTTCGTGGGGTCTACTTGTATATTTTCTTATGTTGAAAACAATAATTAATTAAGACAAGTATTGTGATATTTTACCAACAATCATTAATTACAATTTATGTCTATTTTTAATCGATATAATTTTCACCATCAAAAGTGTATATTTCAAATAAGATCATTTGTAAAACGCATACTTTGTTTTTTAGTTTTTCTGATGAGGCCGATAGTCCCAGAAAAAAAAGGATGAAAATAAAATCTTATTGTTAAAATCTTTCAATACCATTATTCATTTTCAATCATTTTTTAGATTTAATTTTAAATTTGAATTATTGGCTTTCATTGCCGAATCATAACTTAAAGATTCAAAGAAAAGTAAAATTACAAAACATTTTTTTATTAATTTAACAATTTTACCGCGAAAAACAATTCTTAAAATGGAAAATATTCATAATGAAAGATGAAAGTAGAAAGAAGCCATTAAGGCGCTTGCAATATCTTTACTTCGAGGTACCTACTAAATGATACACATATTAAGGGTGCAGCAAACAATGAAATCCCGCGCGGTTTCTTACTCTTCGTTGGTTTATTAAAAATTTTACTGTGACTTTGGCTTACAGGGTATGGTTAGAAGCTTTCACTTTGACAGCACTGACGGAGTTGCTTGATTAAATTATTTTCAACAAATTTATGTAATAGTTTTTTTTAAATTGCAATTGTTTGAATCGTCACTATTTTCATAAAATGTTCTTACGCTATTATTGACAATCGTTGTAAATATTAATTTTGATAATTAAGAATGCTGTAAGTTGGCTACTTTTATCGAAAAAAAAATTACTGTTAAGTTAGCTGGTTGCTCGGCAAATTCTCAACTCAATTTGTAAAAGAAGATATACATTGTTAACATTTTTTTTAAATTCGGTGACCAAGATATCAAAAATTAAAAAATATTTTTCTGTCCAAAGATATGAATTTCAAAAGTAATTATTATTTTCAATGTATTAATAGAAATTGTATATTTTACCTACATTACTTTCACCATACAAATCTCATTACGTCAATAACTAACTATCATATCGATGATCTAAGCAAGATAGTGCAATATGCCGATGGGTCGAAATGGGAAGTTATCTTTTCTATCCACGTGTTACAAGCGTAAAATATTTTCATATAAGTATATAACTAAAGTGTACGGGCTGTAGGTTCATTGTGCAAGAAAAAGTTCTATTCATCGACTTAATATGATTTATCGAGAAAGATCACCAACACGCTTATGGCCTCACGTAGCAATGAAGCTTTTAAAATATTTGTCGATTACCTTTGAATTTATGACACATCGGTGTGCATAATGCGTATGAAAAGAACCATTTGCGCGTACAATGACGAGTGGGAGAATCCGACAGATGCCCATTACAGTAAATACACACTTACATATAATATGCGATAAGTGATCGCATATGATTCCTATTCACGCAAACGTGTTGCGTGTTTTCTTTCATAGCGATCGCATATAGAGATAGTAAATATTTAACCCTTCGAGTGAAGTTGGATCGAAGGATTTCGGAAGCGGAACATAATGAAAATTGTCGAGGTAGCTCGTAATTTACGTTTCGAGTGGCATGTGGTCGGTAGGCTTTCTAAAAACGTCTCAAACGGTTTTAATGAAAATTTTGTTGAGCGTAAAATGACATGGAAAGGTGTTGGCTTACGTATGCCCATTTTCTACACCTGTTTTGTGCAGCCTTAATGATTCAAGGTGCAAAATTTTTCTTCCATCTTGTTCTGTTGAAGAGTGATAGTGTACTTAGAGTGCCAGAAAATGTAATGGTCGTTTATGATTTAATCCTTTTTAATTGGTACGGTTTCATTTAATAATGCCTTTATAATTTATTATGAGCTTTTGTATGAAAGCAGTAGAAAGACTCTTTAATTTTCAAAATTAATGATAAATTGTGCAATGAAGGGAATGAAATTCTTTTTCATTCTTTCACTTAATTTAATTAGCCACTGTCAAAATATGTCAAAGCTATAATATTATTTGATCATTTTGTCCCATCGAATGTTGTCTGAAAAATGGTTAAAAATGTCTATTTTGTATCATATTGATTGCTATTAATTAATAAAACAAGGCTTGTTGTCAATTAACGACAATTCAAATTCTTAGAAAATTCTGATGTATTTACTATTTATTATTTATTATAAAAACAATAATATAAATTTGATATAGTGTAATAATTTTT